ATAACTGTCTAATTAAAATAATTTACTGGCAGGATAAAACTGCAGTATAAAAATTCAAAATAAGCTACTACTGCAATGACACTAATATTTCTTCAATCTATGCCTGAAGTTTGTAGAGCGGTCTTGCAGTACATACTCGGGAGTTTGTGTCTGCTCCGCATGCACAGATGTTTTTTTTTGCGCCTGTTTTGTGCCAGTGTGCTCTAAGACCCAAGCTGTCCTATAAGTGTAAACATTGTTTGTTCTTTTCTTTAAGTTGGTTTATGCTGTCACTAGGCTGATATTGATTTGGTTCCAGGTATATTGGTTTTATCTTTTCTTTGAAGTTAACAAGGCAGGTTGAAGAAGGAATCATGCTTTAAGGGCAACATATGGTCTCAACAATACTGCCAAGGCTTTGTGCTATTGAGAGGAGAAACTTCATCCTTTGTCTTAATTTTATCGATTCATTTGTCAATCCAAAATTAGATTATTTTTTTAACTTTCAGATTTATCAAAAATGCGAGCAGTCCTCAGATGGCTGTATGAATCAGTTGTGATCAAATTGAAGCATCATTTTCATCATTCAAGATTCACCCTTTTTCTAATGGGAATTTTTGCTGTGTGGGCTCTTATTGAAACTCAGTCAGGTAAAATGTCTTATTTGTTTATGGTCAACAATAAGGAGAGTAAGTACTTCATGATCAAGAGGTAGGCAAATGAGAGTAAAGCATCAGTAGATGACTGAACAGGAGTCTGAGGGAGTGTACAACTCTGAGACAGAGTATTGGAGGATCATTGCAGTCAGCTTATTGACCCAGAAAAAAGACCAGGTCTTATGTTTGTTGCTAAAGGACACCTTGAGGCTTATTTTCAGAAGATGCTTGAGTATTTATACCCACTACTTAATTAAATATAATATGCCCACATATGTAATTGTACCCAAAACTGAATTGTAATTTATTTAAAGCATTAATTTTATCAATATAATTTAGTTAAACTATATTTTCTTGAGGATTTGCTGGCCAAATAGAAAAGATAACAAGACATTTATGCAGGAGACCAGGGTTCAAATCCTGGGTAATGTTGGGGGCAAAATTTAAATCCTAACTCACATAGTCAGTGGCGACAGGACTTAGGTTCAGAGACCCCTCTTCTCACACAAAAGTGGTAATTGCCAGCAGTAATTATTTTTAATGGCAGCATATTTAGTATGACTGTCATGTGTTTCAGTGAACAAACAAAATTCATCTTCCTGACTGATGATCTTAACTAGGACTTATGTTTGGGGTAGGGCTTACATTAGGAATCCTGAAAAATTGTCTCAGGATTCATGTTCAGGTTAGGTCTTATTTTCACAGAAACTATAGAATGTTACAGTCAGCAGTGTATTGATTTCTGGTAGTCTGGTAGTCTTAGTTTCAGCTTCATAGCAAACTGGTCGTCCCATCTTTGCTCCGCTCCTATGCCAACGAAAAGACACTCAGAATGTTTATCACAGTCCTTTGTGGAAAGATTGACAGACTGCTGTCTCAGCCTGTCTAGCATACACTCGCATTAAAGCATACGGTAGCCATCCGAAGTGCTGACACAAACAGTCCAACATTAGAAATGCAGTTCATCATTGATGATAGCAGAACTTGTCGCCAACAGATCAGCAGTTGCCCACGCGATCAATTGTAATCACATACAGGCACCGCCAACATTGCACGACAGGCATCACGCCATTTTCTGAATCTACAATTCACACCACCACTTTGGTCACAGTCGAAAATACATTCCAAATGCAATCCGCAGCTCACAGGGTCACGCCATGCATTCAACTCAGAAGCTGGGCGACGAAACTATATCCAGCCTACAAATGGAGCAAAAATACTTCGGCCACAGTCCATTTTAACTGGAAGTATTGATTTGGTTTATTGTTTCTCTTTTCAGGTGAAACTGTATCCAGCTTGGGCAGATTTGTGATAATGTGGAGAGCATTTCTCCAAAGGTTTGGCTTGTTAACTAGGAGTTAAAGGTTCTGTTGTGAATTTCCCTTGATGACATGTTAACTTCACATGACTTCTTGGATGACTAAAGTCAGTTTTGAAGAAAAAAGTATACTCAATGTGGATTTGAACCCAGGATCATTAGATCGCTTGTTCCCCGTGGGGGGTTGTCTTTTTTTCTCTGCTATTAGTAATTAACCTGTTATTACTTTCTCTGTCGTAGTGCAGTCGCTAGATGCTTACCTAATGGTCTTTGGTTCAGATCCACATTATTTCAGTCTTGGAGGGTGTAGCATGAGAGGCCAAAGGGTAGAAAAAAGAAACATTTAATCAGTGCATCTTGTATTCATTGGGCTTCTAGGTAAGAACCCATGAGCATTTCTTCTGTCTGAAGGAGTAAGGGCTAATCATACTTATACTTGACTTATGATACTAGATTGACATTTTACGAAATGAGTACCGGGAAACGCTCTTGGAAGTAAAGGCAGCTGTCGTAATGTTGACTGCATTACCATTTGAGTACTGAGCACTCTACAAATACATGGGTCTACCATATGTCATGATCTCTTTAATATGCTCAGTATCTCATAGTATACTTAGGAACCAGCACCATAGCACTCATAGACATTCTCTTAAACACCCACCCTCATCTTCAGAAGCACAAGTGCAGTCATACAGTTCTGATGGTACCAGCGTGTGTTATTGCATATTCATCTTACCTCCTCCTAAGCATAAAGTGCCAGATTCTCTGGTTAATATCAGCTGCACCATTCACTCCAGGCAGTGTTGATTAGTTTGTCCCCCACACATACATTTAGTACCAAGCAATGCTCTTTGTGATAATGGGTTCCTACAGATACACTGCATTGAACTGAACTCACCACTTTACTTTGGATTTATAGATCTTCTTCTTCACGTTCACTAGCTGTAAACTCTGGGGGAAAGTTCTATTTGGTCATCGACTTCTGGACTGCAGTCCTGCTCCAGAACCTGAGTGTTGTGTGTGCATCCGTTTTACAGATCTTACATTTGTATGCAGACTGCTGGTTCCTTGCCTCTCAGGCAGATGCACTCCGACTTTGAAGGAAGCTCCCAATTAGTCGACTCTTACGACATGCGTTTGGGTAGGCAGTGGGTCTATTCTTGTTATCCCTATTACAGGGCCCCGGAACCCTCACGGGGAATTTATAGACTATGAAAAAGCATTTGACAGCACTGATAGAGAATCTCTCTGGAAATTGATGGGGCACTATGGAATCCCACAAAAAACTATTAACTTAGTAAAGGCAACATATAAAGACATGAAATGTTGAGTTCTTCATGAGGGAAAGCAAACAGATACATTTGAAATAAAAACAGGTGTGCATCAGGGATGTCTTTTGTCGCCTCTCTTATTTTTTCTGGCTATAAACTGGATTATGAAAACAGTAACTGCTAACACCAAGAATGGAATTCAGTGGACCCATACGAAACAGCTTGAGGATCTGGACTTCGCTAATGATATTTCTCTTCTGTCCCATTCACGGAATCAGATGCAAGATAAATTAAATTTACTGGATGCGAGATCACAGCAGCTTGGTCTGAAAATCCATAAAGGAAAGACAAAGAATATGAGAATCAATGGGCAAATAGTAATGTGGTTTCTCTAAATGGCACCCCACTGCAAGACGTGGAGTCGTACACCTATTTAGGCAGTAATGTAGATAAAGATGGAGGAACTGGTAGGGATATTACAATAAGAATACAAAAGGCAAGAGGAGCTTTCTTAGGGGATTTGTGGATGTCAAAAGAAATTAAAAGAAATACTAAACATTTTTAATTCTAATGTCAAATCAGTGCTTTTGTATGGAGCGGAAACACAGGGAACAACTAAGGCAATTACTAATAAATTACAGACATTCATTAACTGGTGCCTGCGCAGAAAAGAAGGAATTAAATAGTATGATAGAAGAGGTAAGGAAAAGACGCTGGTGTTGGATAGGACACACACTGAGAAAACGGGATAACTAGAATGTCTTTGCATTGGAACCCACAGGAGCATAGGAATAAAGGAAGGCCAAAAAACACATGGAGAAAGTTAGAAAGATAGGGAGGACATGGGAAGCGCTCCATGTAATGGCGAAGGATAGAACGACTTGGCATGAGTTGGTTGAGGGCCTATGCTCCATTGGGGGATAGAAAGGCAGAAGAAAAAGATACACTGTGCTAAAATGTCTCACAACCCAACTTCTTGCGACTCATACAGTTATATCAACCAACCCTCCACCATTATTTTTTTTTTACGCCTTTTGCAATGCGTTAAAGCAGCAGTTATCAGCCTATGAGTTGCGACCTTTTCACAGGTGTCGCCAAAGACCATCGCAGAACAAATATTCATTGAAGTTATGAAGAAATGTCAAATCCGGACGAAGAATAAAAAGCCTTGGACGACTTAGGAGTTCTCTCCCTTGGCCCACTGCAACAGTGATCGGAAAAGCTAACGAAACAAACGATACACTTACCTATCATCATACGGTTGCGTGTAGGGCTGCGTGAGCATTGTGAAGGGATTTAGTCATCATAGTTTGCGTGCAGGGTTGCGTACGGTTGCGTGAGCATCGTGAAGGGTTATCATATTAAGTTACTTTAGGGTTAGGGTTAAATTAGGAGACTAGAGTTTCGTGCTATGGGCGTGGCGCCACTGAAATTCTCCACCCAATAGTGTGCGGCTGGTGCCCAATCGTTGGCGAATTGTGCGTTTGAGCAGCATCCAGAGGCCCTAATGTAGACTGTGTACGTCGACGAAGTTGGTAACGATGTGTTATGTGAGTGCGTCTAACTGCCATGTTGCTTGTGTCGTTTGTTTCGTTGGCTTTTCCGATCACCTGCGGCCAAGGGAGAAATGAGTCGTCCCTTTTTATTATTCGTCCTGAGTACGAACCACAGCATTAGAAAGTTTGAGAACCACTAGCTTAAAGGGACAATTAAGACTTTGTATTGGGAGCTAGGGTGTGCTATCTTGTTCCACCCAACACATCTAATTTCAGCAGAACCCTAATTAGACACTTTTAACAGCATACTTGGTTATTTTTTCCCTCCAAAAATGATGTCCCAGAACCCACATATAGTTAAAATAACTTTTTAGAACCAGAGACCAAAAGACACTTTCCAAATGGGCCTTGACAATAAAGAAATGTAATTACAGCTGGCTATTTGTTATAAATTGTTTTACATGCTAAAGTATAACAGCGATGGCCAACTTCTCTATGTATGTGTGTAAAGGTTTAGGGGCAGCTTTTTTATTTCTAGATTCACTGCAGTTCATCGTAAAATATCTAGAAAATCTATCTGCAAGAGTTAAGTTACAGGGTTCAAGGAGCAGATCAGTCACAATAAAACATGAAATTCTACAAGGCGGAGTTCTGCCCCCAATTCTTTTCCTTGTTTATATTGATGACATAAAATCAACCCTCTGTAATGGTGTTCGAGCTGTTATGTATGCCGATGAGCTGGAGCTGCCGAGTTCAGAGGAGGACACTGGCTTCAAGAATCGCTCGGAACTCTAGAGAATTGGTCCAATAGTTGGTACATGCCTGTAAATAGGGCCTAAACCACACACACCATTTTCAGTCTTTCTACAAACCCCAAAAAAGTTTCACTTACATATGGCAGCCAGTTAACCTTTGACCCAAGACTCACGTGGAGAAAACAAGATAGAAAAGACACAGAGCAAGGGACTCAAGAGAACCCAACTGATGAGGAAGTTAGCTGGAAGAGACTGGGGGGCAAACCTCAGTGTCCTCAAGAGGACCTATACAGGTATGTGAGGCCAACACTAGAATATGGAATAGCTGCTTGGGGCACAGCAGTTAAAATCAAATTTTCAAAGATCCAAAACCATGCTCTTCATATTATGACATGGGCAATGCACTCCACGTCCCTATCAGACATGGAAACAATTACTGGTCTCCATAATCTGGAAGATAGGAGAGACACAAAGACCCTCACCCAGCTCTCCAAATACCACCACTTTAAAGAACAACCCATGCACAGCCGACTGCAGAAACCACAGAAGGCTAGACTAAAGAGAACCTGTTTTATTAAGAACGCAAATGCCAAGCTCGCTGTCCTCAAACTCCCTCCCATAATATCAAATGTTTCACTGAAACCTTACGACTGCCCCCCATCCCCCCTGGCGTTTTGATAGCCTACCAACAGTCAGAACCACTGTCAATGAGCAGCATATGAAATCAACTACAGAAGGAGAGATTATTTATTCTAGGTATAGCAATGGGTCGTTTTGTTTTGTTTATTTTCTATACATTTTCGTCGGTATCTATAGACGCGACTGCGAGCCGAAAATGCAAAACTAATTGTCCGTTATTGAGAAATTATTTTTCTGTGCTGTTTACGTGAAAGATAAAATTATTAAAATCGGAACAGTTATTGGAGAGATGCCAGGCTTTGACCTGAGGTGGTTTAGACGCGTGTAAAATAAAACGATTTTTTGGCAGCACGCAGTGAATTAACGGTAAGTAATTTCGTAAATATTTTCTTAATTAGCCAAATTACCGCAATGTGTGTTGTATTTTTGAATTCTGCGTTAATTTTTATAAAAGTGTGGGAAATTTCACAAAGATTGGCAATACAGCACATGTTTAAAAAAATTGTTTAGTGGCATCACTGTTTTTGCTTTAAATCCAATATTTTTTGCACTAGGAGACCGTTTTCCGCTTTTATAATTAGCTTTAAATGTAATTATTAAATTAGCTACGTTATTTAATCATTTTTTTAAATCCACAAACCCATTGTAGGCATTGTTCATGCATCTGTCATTATTTAGAGCCCTTGTAGTCTTGTGGGAATATTTTTTTTTTTCTGATCACCCCAAATCCAATAATTAATTTCGGCCATCATTGCCGCATTTTCTAGATGATTCTTTAGTAACTAAACTTCAGATCTTAGAAATTATAATGTTAAGTGAGCTACTTTTAAACATTACTTTGTAGATTTAATTTTTTGCGTCTGTTATTTTTAAATCCCCGGATTTTTTTGTCGGAATTGGGGAAAACTAAATGGTCGGGAAAAAAAAGCAGCGCTGACACGTTCCAGTCCCTCAGGCTGCCCTATTGGGCTTTTCCCCAAAAACTTTTGGGGTTTTTTTTTAACGACACCTTGGGTTTAAAATTTTTGAATTTTTTTTTTAAACTATAATCCAATAACAGTGGGTAAATGTTTTATTTNATCCCAAGAAAGATGGCTGGATACACACATCAGATTTTCTCTCAAAGACTCGCTTCATCGCCTCTCTAGAGAGGGACAGTATTATATTCAGACTAAGGACTGGGCACAACAGATTTCGTCAACACATGTTCAAATTTTTCGGTGTAGGAAATACGGACAACAGAGACGCAATATGGCCTGTTTCAACCACAATGAAGACTGTATGGTACACGAGAGGATATGGACTGCATAATAGCTTTCATAAAAGACACAGGCCTCCTGTTAAGGTGTTTTCTGAAAGAAGGATCAAAGAAGAAGGCTGGAGTTCATCTTATTTCCAGATTCACTGCAGTTGATCCATCGCACTTTCTATTATCTGTAATGTTTATTGGGCTCAAAAGATTCACAATCGAGGCCTGGGGAGGATCTTGGTCAATGAGGACAGAACGGTGTCTGTAGATAAAGGCCTGTTACTTAGGTCCTTAGCTTGTCTTAGTTGTTGGACCTACAAAGAACATGACCCAGTCAGCTGCACACTATTTTTCCTGCATTATTCAACTGGCTACCGGTATGCCAGTCTGCCTTATGGAAGCCCAGAAATAGCCTGTGGACCAGAGCCAGCTGTACTTTATAAATGAGCTTTCTATGCTTGCGTTCGGTCTTCTAGCCAATGAAGGTCACTAGTCATGAAACAGCAGCTTTTTACTGTTCTAATTACAGATGGTCTATCTCAGCCTGCTTACCAGTCATGAAACAGCAGGCTATACACTTCTCATTTTTAAAGCTCAGGAAGCGTCCACAACTCTATCCCTTAAGAGGCACAGAAGAACCTGGTATGACACTATCAAGAATACTCAAATCTAAACACACAAATGGTTGTGGATAAACAAACAAAAAAACTTTGCTGTCAGTACAAATATTTCTGTTTATTTACAAGCGCCCCCTCCGCTTGACTTTATTAAAAGCAACATTCATGGCACCAGTTTAAACTGGTTCTGCAACACTTCACAACAAAATTAGCCCTGCACCATCTTCATTTAGTTCCAAACTATATTAATTTGAAAAATCATTTGAAAGAGTTAATATAAGAAGAAGAAAATACCCTGAAAAACGAAAATGCATGAATGCAATAGGAAACAAGATTATAGAGTTAATAAAGATACAGAGTGTGAGTTCTTTCCATCCTAAAGCAAAGATACATGGTTTCAGGAAATTGTGACAGGTTTTAATTAATAATAAAACGATCTCACAGGGCTCAAAGTAACTCCACCACCTACTATACAGTCACATTACTGCAAACATAGAAAGCACAAGTAAAGGTCAATTTATGCTAGCCAACAGCCATGAAGAACACACATTTATCACATAGCTGGTTCTTGCTGCAGCCAACATAAACTGAACTGGGAAGAAAGAAACAACAATGAGCACCTAAATATGCAGAACAAGCATAATAACCAGTACACATTGTATGTTTATTTAGACAATAAACAGCTGCCTTTATGAACCCCACCTCTGCTGAAAGCAAACCTCCCCCACATCTGCTGAATGCAAACCTTCCCTCACCTCTACTAATTCAATACAAGAAATGACCAAGTGATTATTAACACAAGTCACTGTCATTGTTTTCTATATGAAAAAAAACTTTTATCATCAACACAAATTACATGGGTCGGAAGCTATCAAAATTCCAGATGTATTGGTCACGACAGTGATGATCAACATACATGCACAAAGCAGGGTGCAGTATGTCGACTGAACAACCAGCAAGTGTCTGCTCTGAATATAGTTAAGACAAGCTGGCAACCTTAACTTAGGGAAGTATTTTCTGGTGCAACCAGTTTTATTTCAAATCAATGTAATGAATTAAACAAACTGATAAACTGGCAAATGTGCAATTAACATTGATACTTTGTAACTTAATTGTACATATAACTGTTAGCAACTTGCATTAGATGCTCTTTAACAGCCAGATCAAAATGCAATTTGCTCTATAATGCCAGGGGCAATGAAGGGGCTTCTCTGTTCCAAACTATATACATGAATATAAAAGTACTGATGGGTTGAGAAAAACCATAATTAAATGACAAGACACACAAAAATTTATTACAATGAACCTCAAGTCTGATAGCAAACTACCAACTACAGCAGATAAAGCTGATAAATCAAAAATTAAGAAAAACTACAAAATAAATTAAAAATGGTCAAACGAAAAGAAAGAGTTAATTCAATACATTAATACAATCATGAACTTTCCGCATTTTTGGGGGTTAAAGTAACTTGAAAAACATAAAAATCCTAAAAAATGTTAGTACTCAATACGGAATTAGACAATCAGAGCTTGATCAATTTACTTTGCTGGGGAAAATTTAAGCAATTTTTTTCATAAATTTTTTTTAATGAACTAAATGTTTCCCATCCACCGGCCTTTAAAAAAAAACGTATTTTCAGAAAACAGTACATTGATCTCTTCTCTTACAATGGTTAAAAATAGATTTTGGTTTCATCAAATTTCATAAGACAGAATTGTTGGGCAATAGATACAATTACATTAGTAATGTCCAGCTTGACATTAGGGAAAGAGACACCAAACAAAGACAATGCATCAACACTGCCAGTGTTTCATAATCTCAATCATGTCCACAATCGAGCAGATCAAGCGGCTGCCACAATGTCATTGTTGGCCTCTGTAGGACAATCTCGGGCTATGTGTCCCATCTGGTTGCAGTTATAGCACTGTGTTTTACTGGCTCCGTCAGGGCAGTCTCTGGCCAGGTGATCATTAGAGCCACATCTGATTGAGAAAAAGAATACAATGTTAATCTGATATAACCTGTCAATGTTATCCAAATTTACTAACATTAAAATCTTACAATATATTTATTAAGAAAACTACATACACGTCATGCAAAAAATGTATTTTCCTATGTTAAATAAAAATGTATGCAAAAAAAATAATTTGAACATAAAGTTTATTGCAGTTTTTAACTCTTAAAAGAATTTTTGCCAGTTAAATAACGTTTGAATTTATCACCATCGGACTATTAACCAGTCTACTAGCGCTACATTTTGTTACGTTTGTGTGTAAAGAAACAAGCTGTTTTGAAAAACTAGGATTAGCTACAGAAAGTCCTTTTGTTTTCTGAAGTCCTGAAAAGTCAGTATAGTGTCTGTGCCACTTGCTAATTTTGTAATTTTTATAAATTATTTCTATGTGATATTTCTATATCAATTAAATATTAAAGGTCTAGAATTGTTCATACTGCTGTCTTCGTTGAATCTTAGCAATGTAGTGACAATATTCTTATTATGATTGGTAATGCAAAAAGGTTTCATTCATCACTTAAGCCACCCGAAAACCACAAGGCTGGGTTACAACTTGGTAACATTGAGTCGATAAAAGAATGCATGTGTTGATAAATAGGTCTAGGATGAAGATATACATTTTAACTGGATCATGTTTTGATCAGCTGTTTTCCCGATTTTGGTTGCTGTGAAATCAGACGGAATGCAAAAATGGTCACAACATCTAGATTATATAGAATAACTGTTTCAAAACAAGACTAACTGGTACATAATTAAACAGAAAAGGCGGGTGAATTCTTAGAAGTGGTAAGCATTGTTGCTGAAATAGTATACACAGTAGGATAAACACAAACTGTGTGTGCATAAATAATCTTCATGTGTCCAAGATCCTTGAACGCTAGTGTGATTTAATATGCTGTCCAAACTCCAGAAAAAAATTGTTCTGTACCATTAACAATAAAATATATACACGTAATTGTATTTTACTTTCCTTGACTTCTTTTTAAAATAAATTCTAACCCCACACCATTATAAAAAACGTAAGGTTTGAAACAAAATCCATTTATTAATTAAAATAAATACCTGTAGCAGTCTTTGCCACTTGAACGGTTGGCATTCGGGCACTCCCTTGAAATGTGGCCAACGCCTCCACAACCATAACACTTGCGCTCATCTGTGCCACGGTCTTCTGGGCAATCACGAGCCATATGGCCATTCTCACCGCATCGGTAGCACGGTCTGCTGCTAACTTCTGGGCAGTCACGCTGAACATGTCCAGGGCTCTTGCAATTATAGCAAGCTCCTGTAAAAAAAAATTATTTGCAATTAAACGTTTTGCTCAAATGAAAGGTAAAAAAAAATTAAAGGCTGTTCTATCTTAGGCTAGAGCCTTTCTCAAAATAGTGCTTAAGTTCTTTTACCAATTCTAACTTATTTAAATGATTTTTGTATGATAATTGATGTAGTTAAAAATAATAAAGAAGTTATAAATTTATTCTCTTCAAACTTGTAGTCGCTGAAACAAACAGTTGAATAGACATGTTCTAGAGCTTTTGTACCCCAAAAAATAAATATGCATATTAATATACTAACAGCCCAGTATTAAACTATGTGCATTTAAATATAGACTTACGCATCATCACTAATAAGCTAAAAAAAAAATGTGTTTTAGTCACAAAATAAATTGTAAACAAAAGTGTTATAGACAAACCCAAATTTCAGCTAACAAACAAGAAAAGATTTGACTCAAATTAGAAAACCTGTTGATAGTTTATTTTAATCCTTTCTCCGGAATCCACAGGACAAAATACAAAATAATACAACAATAAAGATTTTCAGAAAAAAATAAGACAGTAAAAAGATGACAAAATTTATGTGGGTATGTGATAGGGTTGGTGGCTTAGGCTATATGGGGGGAGGGGGTAAAAAGGCAGATACAAATCCCTTTTCCATGTGAAGTTGATATACTAAATGCAGAAGTTTCTACCAACCATTTCTATTGAGACTCAGCAAAGACAACTAAAATGTTAATAGAGGACACAGACTAGCAGTGCACAATCACTGACTAACCGGAATCAATCTCTCTATCACATTCTTTAGCAATATGTCCTAGCTGATTGCATTTGTAGCAACGGTCCTGGTCCATCCTGCATTCTCTAGCAAAATGACCTGGTCTGTTACATTTATAGCATTTCTCTGGAAAAAATAGTCAATAATTTAATTTTAAAATTTACAAAATAAAAAAAATCTGAACTCTTACTTTATATAAAAAAATTTGTAGACATGATTATGCATGTTTAATACTGGCTTTGGAAAAAAACGGCTATCCTCCGAATAACGGTCATAAATTATCAAAGTGGAAAAAATACCCAAACAGGGGCCTCAGTCATTTGTCAATTGCGCAGTTTCGTCTTAAAATGCAAGCTTCCTACGACTTCTGCAACCGCTGAATTTCAAACTTTCGGCTCACGCGGCGTGGGGGACACTCGTGGTGGAAGTTGCGAGGATTGGGGCTAAATTAGACAGCTAGGACTCACGAGCAGCAGCTTCCTTCATTTTATTCACTTGTGAGCCCTAGCCATCTAGTTTAGTCCCAATCCACGCGGCGTGGCGGTGGCAAAAGTTGCCGAAAGTTCGTTATAGTCCCCAGAAGTCCGCAATTGACACGTGACGGAGGCCCTATTAGGGTATATTTTCCGCCTTGATAATTTACGACCGTTATTTGGAGGGAAGTCACACACAAATTCAGTGTCTAACTGATCAGGTCAGACACTGAACATTGTGTTAGCATGGCCTATGAGGGAAATAGTAATCACACTATCAAAAGTCTATTAAGAGGGTACTACAGACAGCTGAAATACAAAACTGGCTAGAAAAAAAATCAAACATGAAACTCAGCCAACCCAGGCTCTCAGAGCAATTGTGATGTAAATAAGATACAAAGAGGCTGTTATGGTCTTATTTGAACCAAAAAGATGAGTAGGCCAGAAAGTTATGATTGATCAAGTGGTAGGAATTGAAGATGATTTTAAAACGAACAGATGGGTGAGTTTGTTAAAAACTGTTTAGGTATAACTGTAGTTGTGAACAAGAAAAATGAATGAAATATATACATAAATATATATAGGCAGAGGAAAAATAACTGCAACATGTAGAACTGTGTGTGTGTGTATAATGTATACAAATATACACTGACATAGATATATGCCAAATAACTTATAAATTTTAGGATTTATGAGTATGAATTTGTTATATTTTAAATCGAATTCCTAAGTACTTTAATATTGGATCCAAAAATGTTAGGTATGACTGTCCTGTGGATTCCACTTGTACTATTACCAGATTTATTACAGTCTACTCAGGTATATCTAAACAGCACATTAGTTTCCTTACAGCATTAGTTAAGTTATTAAACAACACATGTTATTCTCCATCTTGAACAATAAAACTTATCAAGGAAAACAAATAAGGTTGCTATGCTCACCACCTCCTCTGCCACTGCGGAAATCAGAACGGCCTTGGCCCCTCTCTCTGCCAAACCCACGTCCTGAACCTTCTGCACCACTGGATCGGCAATCCCTGGCGAAGTGGCCGGGTTTACCACATTTGTAACAATCTCCTCCACTCATGATTACCTGTATACACAAACAAAACAAAAAAAATATCAAAACCATTTCAAGTGTGCTGTGCAAAGATGGGATGGCCAAGCCTAGCATTTATGCTACATGTTAAGGTGGGTACTGTAGAATTTACATTAGTGTGTAAAGAATCAATTAACAGTGTGTAAAGAATCAATTAACATTAGTGTGTAAAGAATCACAAATTTATTTCAACTGAAATACATATATCCATAAGAATTTTGCTGCTTATTTGAAGATGTAATTATGGTCTGCCTGATTACAATATTTGGTTGTCTACAAAAATTAATCCCTTATATAAAATGACTGCTGTCTAGAAAACACTAAAATATCAAACTTTTTACAAAAGCTATTCAAGGTTAAACCAGAAAGTTTAGAAGGTGTTAATTTGGTCGAGTGATAAGCCAACCAGCAATAGCTATCACGCTTCTCTATAACTAGCGTCAGCATGTAAAGGTTTGTTGAGTGTATGACACCCGTTGACGCAACTAAGAATCTTTCTTCTAACTATTATCATTATCTATTTCCACCAGCCAAAAGCTTGTAATCAAAAAGGAATTATGAAGATCTTCCATAAGCAATTAGAATGGAATTAAGACTCTTGGAGGTGAGTTTAATCAGAAGAACACTATCAATCGCTAACTTGCGTTGGAGCGTGTGGTCTTCCCGCCCTGTCCCCGAAATTGTCAGCTGGCAATAATCCTAGTTTTGTTGTGATGTGTTCGTCAGAGGAATTCTGCATTTTACATACGACTGAGACCCTGTTAGGGTATTTGTTAAGCCGCCTTAATATGGGGACGTAGTTCATAGGAGAGCCAGTGTCTCTAATGCTTAAAAAAAAAGTTCATTTTAAATTTAAATAACTGCCACCCTTAATTTGTTAATAAACTATCAGTCAAGTATTTAAAACTGACACTTGTTTTGTAGACCAATTATAACTTTAAGGCGAAACTTAATTTAGACTGTAATGATGTAATGAATATTCACAAACGTGTGACAAGTCCCAGTGTCAATATTTCTGTGTACAGGGTAACTTGCAGTTTCATTTCACTGCCTAATGATAATGCTAATTCATATATGTCAACCAGTTAATGCAATGTACTTTACATAAATATTTACTGTAACCCCATATAACTTAAGACATTATGTAACACTAAAATGTTGTGATGCATCCATCATTCACCAACACTCCCACGTGTTACTGTGTTACGACCACGAGGTTAAAAATACACCCAGTAAGACCAGGTCTCCATTTAATGTCGGTAAATAAAAACAGGTGAACAAATTATGGCAGCCCTGTCGCTAGAATAACGTGTAATTTTCAAGAAACCACACATACAAACACTTGAAACACCAAAGCTAAATGAATATGTCAAACCCGAGAAGGATTTTTCGAGCCGATATTTCAAACTAGCGTGTTCATAGTTAATAGTTAAATAATAAATTTCAAACAAAAATCGGTGTCACCGACTTTTCAAATCGACAACCACGTAGGTGTCTGTTACGTCAGTATGATTAACTACAGCGTAGACGATATTATTCTACACGCGATAAAAATCAACATACAAATAAATTTCAATGTATTAATACTTAAAATATACCTAGGTTGATATGTTAGTTGAAAGTGAACTGCGACAGACAGAGACAATCAACTTTACCTTTCTACGTGCTGGAAACAAATGCTCAGATCAACCACGCTAGCGGAAAATTCAGTTGCATACTTTGCACACGGCACTCTTGCACACGGTCCAGGCTTTTCGCTAATTGCAAGCCAAAGTTCAATTAAATTAATTTTACCTGCCGCACTTTTTAATTTATTGCTTGCGGCACAGCGCACTAGCACAGATAAAGAATTCAAACATCGAAGGACTAATTCGAAAAGCAGAGAGGAAAGCCGACTTTTCCTCACGTCGCAATTGGCAGTTAGCATATCGACTCCTTGTTAGCTACTGAAGAAGGGGACTGAGCACTTGTGAGGATGCCCCGACTGCATTATGTCCATTCTTGATTGATTCCTTCATTCGTTTTTTTTTCTTCTACTGCTTCTTCTTCTGATTTTAGTCCTAATATGGCTGTTAGCAGATTGTTTGAATTTACACATGTGTCGGCCTTTCTACCCAACATATTAGATTTCGGCAAACGCCTGATTACTTGCCTTGTACGACATGTTTGCTAGTCTAGGCCTACCTACAACGATACTGCCCCGACGATATGGTTACCCTATCTTGTAGACATGTTTCTTTGTGTGTTTTCGCTGAAAACTCCTATTATTATTTTGTAAACGTTGAGAAAGAAGGGGAACGGACGAATTTTGAAAGGGCTGCCTCGCCAACCCAACCTAAAATTGCATGAAAAGTAGAAAATCAAGATAGAAGTTAACCCATCATCGCCCTCATAGTCTAAAATACCATGGACAGTAAAGGCGACAACATTTCCCCTTGAGTGCTGACTGGTCAAAAAATATATTCTCGTATAAGCAGATGATGAAACAGAGAGATTATGATGCACACATTAGACAACAAACGTCGCCGCAGAATGCTAATTTTGATTACAGATACCAGGATTCGGTAGAGATTATCAAAATGAGGACAATGTAATTGAATGCTAATGTGATTACAGATATTCTATTCGGTAGCCACAAAATGAGGACAATGTTTCGCTGCATGAACATGTAATCAAACGCAGTGACAACAATGTATCTAATCCTCCCCCCTCCCCCTTCTTTGCCCTGTCCCCCCCCCTTATATTTATCTGATTGCCAATCACTACCTAGTTTAGTTTTGTTGTCTTATGTAATTGTCTTCTGAATATAAAGTCTCTCTCTTTCTCTCCTTCTTCTCTCTTCCTCCCTCCCTCCTTCCACCTCTCTCCTCCCATTTCTCTCTCTTTTTCATCTCTCTGTCTCTCCGTCCAATCATCCATCTATTCATTCATCCATCTACCCACCCATCTCCTTTTTAGTCTCATTTCAAATACCCCCTCTCTATTTCTCTTCATCAGTCCATCCGGATAGGGCAGGGCGATATACATGAGTATGACTATAAATGTTCCCGTGTGGGTTCCGAGGCACCACTGTGGGAGAAACAAGAATCTATTCAATGCCTCTCTAACAAGCATGTCGTAAGAGTGGATTAATTGCAGGCTTCCTTTGAAGTCGGAGTGCATCTATTTGAGAGACAAGAAACTAACAGCCTGCATAAAAATAATTCAGATCTATATAACGGATGTACATACAACACTCCTTATGGAACAAGACTAATGTCCAGAGGTGGACGAACATCCAAAACGTTCTGCAGAAGTTTACAGCCGGTGAATGCGTAGAAGAAAAAGTAGAAGATTATAATTGGGGCACCCTATTGCCTTCATAAGCAGAGTGTTAAACAGTCCTGTGATGGTAAGCAGTTCATGATTGTTTCCGACTGAAGCTTCAAACATGTTGAGACACACCAAAGAACATAGTCATTTATAATCCAGTACAGTATAGACACCCTGGCGAGATTAAGCTTAGGTTCTTGTTTCATTGTCTATAGTCTACAGTACTCTACAGACTGTAATCCACATTGGCGTGCGGACGTCAAGAGATAGAAGGATGGGTAGTTGGGCAGGCGGATGGAGAGACATAGAGAGGGAAGTATGGGTGAGAAGAAACGGGGAGAGGAGGAGAAAGAGAAGAGGCGTTTACAGTTTTGACGAATATGGTGTTAGAAAAAGAATTAACAGGTAGTATTCGGCACTCAGATAAATTAAAGAAGAGAAATAAAGATTAGATGCTTTCTTTTGCTGCATTCAGTGCTTCAAGACTAGAAGCATAAGAAAAATAGAGATTAGATACTGCATTCAGTGCTAGGATCATGCCTATGTGTTTATACTGAAACTGATGGCGTCGGAGTGCACAGATGCCATCGATACACTGAGGCGACTATCAGAGAACACGATAAGACCTGTTTGTTGACATTCATAGACTAGGAAAAAGTATTCGATAGAGTCGGCAGGAATATGTTGTGGGAATGTATGGGGAAAAGGGGAATCAGCAGTCATCTCATTATTATTAATAATAAGCATACAGACACGTAGTATATGCTCCATCTTTTTTTCTTCGCCTTCACCAGCTGTACACTCTGGCGGAAAGTTCTGGTTGTTCATCTACTAGTGAACTGCAGTCCTGCTCCAGAACCTGAGTGTTGCATGTGCATCAGTTTTACAGATCTCATTCTCTTGAATACAGACTGTTGGTTCCTTGCCTCTCCGGCAGATACACTCCGACTTCAAATGAAGCTCCCCAATTAGTTGACTCTTACGACATGCTTTTGAGGAGGCCGTGAGTCTATTCTTGTTTTCCCCACAATGGGGAAAATTAGACCCCTCCACTTTTTGTTATTAATTTGATTTAGGTGGTTCTGTGGGTATTCTACTATGAGTACTTTGTCGTCTGCAAAAATTAATTTTGTAATATCTTCTTCATGATTAAAGATATGGAGATAGGAAGACAGAAAGATAATTTAGAAATAAAAATGTAAAAAAAAAAAAAAAAGCTTAAAGACAAACAGAGTAATTCAAGTAGTTGGGAGCAATTTTCACATGCGATGGAAAACTTGACAGAGAAATTAACTCGAGATGTGCCAAAGCTAATCAAGTAGTACTGGGGCAACTACCTCCCCTGTTGACACACAAGCAGATACCCCCGGAGTACTAAAGTGAATCTTATCATAACTATATTTTTGGCAAACACTATGCTATAAGTGCTAAACGTGGACAATTTCATCATTTAATGAACGTAAAATTGTGACAACGGAGATGAAATGCCTAGAAGAGCTACAGGAGTTTCAATGAAAGGCATAATAAGAAATCACGAAATGAGACGAATGCTGGGAATAAAGCCAGTCTTACAGGTCATCAAATAACAACAAATGAAGGGGTTTGGACATCTAAAAAGAATGCCCTGGTACTATCTACCCCAGCAGATTGTGACCGGTGCCATTAGTACTGGAACT